AAATAAAGGATTAAGTAACTAACATATATATATAACACAATTATATTATGTATATAGGTCTATTCATGGCTTTACAACCAAAGATCATAGCTTGTGGAAAATCTGTTGCTACATTTTCCATGGCAGTTAGGTTCTTAACAGGACCTGCTGTTATTGCTGCTACTTCGATTGCTATTGGTCTTCGCGGTGTATTACTACATGTTGCTATCGTTCAGGTATATATACATTAACGATAATAAAGTCATAAGTTTAACTTATATATACTGACGTTAATTGACTTATATATAACTTGTAGGCTGCTTTGCCACAAGGCATTGTTCCGTTTGTGTTTGCAAAAGAATACAATCTCCACCCTGATATACTTAGTACCGCGTAAGTACTTTTGTATACATTTAATTTGAATTTAAATTCTGAATCTGCTTCTGCTTTAGCGTGTTGATTGTTTAAATTGTTTTTATTTGGCAGGGTTATATTTGGAATGCTAGTTGCGTTACCAATTACAATATTATATTATGTGCTTCTTGGTGTGTAGACGTAGGCATGGGGAACAGAGACAGATAAGTTCAATGGATTCAACAATATGGAAACTACTATATGCTCCTCTAGCATGTGACTACTTAATTATATTATTATACAAAAAAAAATGCATTAATTTATTTTCATTCTTTTTCTTTAATTTTGTAGTTTTCTAAAATTTTATAGTTAGCTAGCTAGGAAGAACTTGTCATCAATAGTACTAGAATTATTAATTCATGTTGAATTATTACTTTCATTTACGAAGTAATATTAAAGTTGTAGCTAGTTCAGATCTAAACATTTGACATATTGTTTCAGTCCAATTGTAGCGGTGGTACTTTCTATTAATAGTTTGCAGGATTCTAGAGTAGGAATAGAACTTTTATTTAGAATAACTCTTTGCTTGCTTCTTTCGATCAACTCAGCGGATGAGTGACCTTATTCGACATTTCTTTCTCTTAACGGCTAATAATTCCTCTAAAGTCATTGCTATTGCGCTTAACACAACTACTTCTTTACCTTAGGCCTCAATTAGTAATCATAAGACCAACATATTTTTATCCCGATCGAAATAAGTAGATGTGAAATCTGTAACTTGAATTAGCAGTCGAACTGTGAACTATTATCACTCGTTAGGCCTCTGAATATAATGAGTTTGAAAGAGTGAAAGTCACTTGACTCTATTGAAGCCTCTGAATATAATGAATTTGAAAGAGTGAAAGTCACTTGACTCTAACGAGAAGGGTGACTTATTGACTCTTCTACTTTTAGTACTGTTTAAGTATGAAAATAGTTAATTATTTTATAATAAAATAGAAGTCAAACGAGGTAGATTTGATCCTTTTTCATTTTTGCAGAAATTAATATTTATTTTATTTCGATGATGTTACGTTGGCTAAATTTGACTATTTGTTGAGTTTTTTTCAAATATTTGTACATGCACGTGAAAGATTAAATTCAGTAAAATCATAGTGGGAAAAAGAGAAAATTTAGCTTCAGTGCATTGTTCCAAGATTTCCTATTCTCATTTTTAAAATTTTGAAATATGTGAATACGGCCTTTAGTAGGAAACTGGCAATTGAACACTTTTGAATGTTTACTCAATACTTCCTTCGTTTCTATTTATGTGTCGTATTTATTAAAAATAAATAATTCTTAATATTTATCATAAAAATCAATGCATAAATGACACTATTTTTCTTAAAGTTATTAGTCCTGAAAGTATGAATTTGACCAACATTGAAAAAGTAAATGATTGATTCATGATTATAAATTAATTTATGTTCATTGATTGAAAATTTGACTTTAAGAAAACACTAAATAAGGGTAAAATAACAAAACTTAGTACATAGTTTCTTAAGAGACGTGAAATCTAAAATGGTGGCATATAAATAAAAACGGATGAAGTATATTTGTAATTACAAGTTGTTTTCTAGTTCCATTAATTTTACTCCCTTGTATTCCCTTCGTTCCTATTTAGTTGTCATCATTTAAGAATTCACGTTCCTTAATAAACTACGTAAGTTTATTAGTTTACCATTATTTAATGTTTTCTTAAAGTGAAGTTTTCAATCAATGAACATTAGTTAATTAATTTGATCAATGAATATGAATAATTTACTTAATTTTTCTATGTTAGTCAAATGCATATTTTGAAGGCTAATAACTCTTAATGGTAAAATAAGAAGAATAGCGTCATTTATATATTGATTTTGTAAAATGACAAGTATTAAATAATATTTATTTTTAATAAAAGACGACACGTAAATAAGAACGGAGGGAGTACTATTTAACTCAGTCAATCACCAAAGTTTGTACGTATCCACGGCACAAAATTCATTGCAGTAAAAAATAAATTTGTCTGAACCTCAAAATCTTAAAAGTATCATATAAATTGAGGCGAAGAGAATATTTTTTTTTATTATGAGTTGTGTAGAAGCAATATAATGCATGTGATAATGTTCCTCTAAGTCTGAACATAATGGATCTTACCAGCTCTACAAGTTTACAAATTACAACATCACATGACCCAATTTTGATTTGTAGATAAATTATTACTTATCATATCTAGTTAATTAAAGTACACATACTTTGGAGCCACTAGAAAGAAATGGATGCATTCTCTAACTTATCATCCAGCTAGATCTATTTAAAAATGTGTAGAATTAAATTTTTTTTACACTATTGTTTTAATTTAGCTGTTTCTAGCAAGTTATTTTTACATTATCCAAGTTATGATATATACCAGGCTTATACGAAAAATTATTTATTTATTTATATATATATATATATATATGGATCCGGCTTCCCTCCATTACCCTTTCCCTCCATTTCGTCAAGTGCACGTCTAGATTACAATCTAGAGACGTGTCATATTTAAAGTTTAAAGGTCAAGATTATATTACATTAACAAATATCATAACCATAATTAAGTTAACTAATTTTAAAAAATTACTCTCCAAATTTGGTAAGAAGTACAATATATTCCATACAAAATTTGATATTTATTAATATCATTAATTTCATATTATATTTTTATATTTAAATATTAAATATATTAAAATTGTAGAACATGAAACATTTATATTTAATGTGATAAATAATAATCTTCAAAAACATTTGCATTTAAAACAATATTATCTTCTATTTCACAAAAAAAAAAAAGATAAAAAAATATTTATTAAAAAAAACATATATTTTCCCCCCTTCAAACACAATAGCCACATTTTCTCCTGATATTTCATGTTTAATTCTAAAAACCTTTCATCTTTTTATTTTTATGTTTATTTTTATTTCATGTCTTTTATTTTATGATTTTTTTCCACACGATAATTCTTAACTTTTTTTTGTTTTGTTTCTCAACATAGTATTTATAATATTTCAAGAGCAAAGTTTACTAGTACATAAATTATTTAGTTGATTCTCACCTTAAATATCATATAATTTAATATTTAAATATAAAAATATAATATGAAATTAATGATATTAATAAATATCAATTTTTGTATAGAATATATTGTAATTCTTACTAAATTTGGAGAATAGTTTTCTAAAATTAGTTGACTTAACTATGGTTATGATATTTGTTAATATATATAATCTTGACCGTTAAACTTTAAAAATGACACATGTCTCTAATCTAGACGTGCACTTGACGAAATGGAGGGAAGGGGTAATGGAGTGGAGCCGGATCCATATATATATATATATAGCTTGAGCTAAGCTAGACAGCAAGGTGTCACGGCCTTAAATTTCTACTCCCTCCATTTCAAATTAATTGAATTGTTGAGACATTTTTCATTTTTCAAATTAACTTAATTGTTCAATTTTCAAGATTACTTTTAGAATGTTCTTTCAATTTTACCCTTCATTAGTTAGTATTAGAATTAGTTATTGATTAATGTTTAGTTATTTTAATCATAAATTTAACAATAATTAATAAGGATAAAAATGGAAAGTTATGCCAAATTTATGTCTTAATCTTCTTTTCTGAAAAGGAGTAAAACACCTCAACAATTTAATTAATTTGAAATGGATGGAGTATTAAATATATTGTGCGGCACTTGACAATTCATTCACGAACTTTATAAAAAATTCATGAATAAATTGTCAAGTGCCGCACGAAGAGTTTAGTTGGAGTCTAAGTTCGTGACAAAAGGCTCATCTGAAAGTCAGGTTGAAAAAAAAGGATGAATAACCGTTACGTTTGACTCCATATATATTTTCCATTTTTCGTACAACAATTTCCAAAAGATTTTGCGTGGGAAATTGTATTATTGGCACATTAATTACTCCATCGCTTCATTTTTATTTTTCACTACTATCATTTCAAGAATAAATTTTCACAAAAAAATAATTACTTATTGTTTCTTAATAGATGTGTAAAATTTAAAATAGATAAGTAAAAATAGGGTTGTTTAAAATCGAACTAATATCGATAATCAAAATAAAAAAAAGTCGGTAATGGATCATTGGTTTAATAGTTGATTTTTATATTATCGGGTTATCGGTTCTTAAAGATTTGATATTTTTTCTGAACGAATTACCCAATCAATAACTTGATAGTAAATTATATTTATATACATTTAGTATATAAAGTCCTTAACTTAAGATTTAAGAATTCGTTTCATATTTTTAATTAGTCAAGTACAAACATTTGACCGTTGGAGATTGATATGACAACATATGTATGTGCTTAATTGTGTTTTTGCCCTAGTTGGCAATCATATGGATATTATTTTAATTTTCCACCCAGTGTCTGAAGTCCACAATGGAGCCCGACTAAATCCGAATTGCGCACAACAAGCATACGGATATGATAGACAAAAGAAGTGAAATTTCACACTTTGACACAAATAACAAAAATATCTCAGAAAATAAGGATAGACATTTCATTGAGAGAGAATTGACTCCATAATCATATACATAGCAGTGAAGAATGACTTGTACTCCATTCTTGTGTTTCTTTTTGGTCTCCTCATTCTAGCTAACTGTTCAAGAAGACGAATCCAATCGTCCCCTTGACAAACATTACGTATAGCAAAAGTCATTGTACTTGAATATACAACGTAACTTTATAAAACGCTCATGTTAGCTATCATTTGTTACCAAATACAGGGGGGCGATAAGCTTTACGTGGTTAGTGAATTGCTCCTCCATTCACAAAACTTAATCTGTTGGTCCAGAGTTTCACTACACAGATTCATCAGCATGACTTCCATCTGCATTTTCTTTGCCTAGCTTTGATTTCGATAGAGATTGTTTAGAGGACGAGGGCTGCAAGTTAAGGTAAGTGTAGAGAGACATACCAACAAGAGCCGTAATGGCTCCTAGTATGCTAATTGGACCCGGATTTGAACCAAAGATAAGAAAACCTCCGAGTAGAATGACACACGTTTTAAATTGTCCAAGTACCACATGAGTTGTTGCAGATGTTGCCCTAAATTAGACGAAAACATAATTAGAAGCATAAATAATAACGAACTTTGCAATTTCCAAATGATGTACTAAGCAATGCATACCCAAGTGCGAGAGCACCTGACCACTGAAGCAAGAAACCAAGAACAGCCGATGCACCAATGATTGTCGAGTTGTAAAAGTTCCACTTAAATGAAAGGACACCGGGAGGATCAAGATATGGCATCAACATCACCAGAAAGAATAATGTAATCGGTGTGGTTTTCCACATTAGCCTGTCACCAGAAATGCAAATTTGAGGTACGAAAATACAACGAACTGATTAAAATTTATAAGAAGGAGATTCGTTTTGGAGCATACGCCAGGGCAGTCCAATTCTCCTGCTGCTGGAGATTGGACCACAGTATTTTATTAACTGCACTTGGTACTATCCATGCTACTGCAATGCAAGCACCAAAGAAATGAAACTGCAAATCTGTCACCGTAGCAACAGCAACACCTACTGATACAACAGTGAGTGCAAGCACCTGAAACATAAGGCTACAGATCAATATTCTTATCAAGGGAGATGCAGACGGACCAAACGGAAATCATTGCGTTGAATAAACTGACCATAGTAATCGGTTATCATAAAAGGCATACTCACACTTACTCAAAAAAAAAGTAGGAAATTTTTCCAAGAATACTGACGGCATATGGAAACGAAAAACAATGCGTAAAGAAACTAAACCTAGCTCTCCACTAGGTTACAAGCATACACTGTATATTAGCAGTAAGAAGCAGTTACCTTTAAGAAAGAAATTTTCTTCCGAAAGAGAACAAATTCAGCTAAAACAATAGCTGGTGTTACTGCAATCTTTGCCATCTGATAAAATCCTACACTGGAAATATATCGTGCTTGTTAACTATCAAGAAAGAAGACCTGTTAAGATTTCAGAGGAGAATAGATTACCATAAGTCTCACCTATTATACTTCAAACTCACATTTGCAAGCCCAGTCGAAAGTGACATAACTATACCAAGAGACAACAACGATGAATATTTTGTCGATTTTGATGGCGTAGACAAGGAAAGGATGGAGAGAGCATTAAGAATTGCCATTATCAACCAGCTACAGACATAATGTAGGAAAGAGAGGAAAATTGGATAGTTAAATCCGACTGTAACAAGAACCTGGAAGAGAGAAGAGGAAAGCAAATGTTACGATCTCTAAAAGATGTAATATCTACTTTCAGTTAGATTAAGGTTAAGTAGACTGACCAATTTGTTCATCAAGATGATACTAACAGAAACAAAAAAATTGAATGTCAAAGCAACCGTAGGCCCCCATAAGGTAGTTTGTTGACGCTTCCCACCTCCAAATTCTCGTAATTTGCTAAACAAAGACGCCCGTACCTCCTCCAATGCTCTTCCTGCATCAAGAAAAGGAACATAGAAAATCTTTTCTTCTGTAGGAATCAATTTGATCGTTGAACAATAGACTACTAGACCATGAGTATCAAACATCTTGTAGAAAGAGCTTATGTATTTCATAAAGTTTAGCTTTTAAGTGCAGAGGAAAACCATTCATAAGTATTAGAACAGTTAGCTCAATCGAAGAATTTGTGAAGACAATGACTTGATAGGAGCAAAGGTGAAGTTATGGAATATAGTCATTGTTCCATTTAAGTAAAAACTCAGGGCAAACTGGGAGAATACATATGTTTTCATTTTGGTCAATTGCAAACATATATCACAATTGGTTGCTAACATATGGAGTATTTTTTTCTTTTGATGACCGTGGAGACAAACGCTGGAGTCCAAAGGGTTCAGGTTGAGTAGGACCAAAACAGAATATTTGGGGTGCAAATTTAGCGATGTGTTGGATGAGACAGATGTGGAAGTGAGACTTGCCGCACAAGTCATTCCTAAGAAGGAAAGTTTTAAGTATCTTGGGGCTGTAATCCAAGGGAGTGGCGACATCGACGATGATGTCACACATCGCGTTGGGGCTGCTTGGATGAAATGGAGGCTTGCCTCTAGAGTATTGTGTGATAAGAAAATTCCACCGAAACTTAAAGGTAAGTTCTACAGAGTGGTAGTTAGACCGGCCTTGTTGTATGGAGCGGAGTGTTGGCCAGTTAAGAACGCACATGTTCATAAAATGCATGTTGCGGAGATGAGGATGTTGAGATGGATGTGTGGGCACACTAGGAGCGACAAGATTAGGAATGAGGTTATCAGGGAGAAGGTGGGAGTGGCCTCTGTGGTGGACAAGCTGAGGGAAGCGAGACTGAGATGGTTTGGACATGTGAAGAGACGGAGTGCAGACGCCCCAGTGAGGAGGTGTGAGGTAATGGTGGTAGAGGGTACGCGGAGGGGTAGAGGTAGACCCAAGAAGTATTGGGAAGAGGTGATTAGACAAGACTTGGCTATGCTTCACATCACCGAGGACATGACTCTAGATAGGAAGGAGTGGAGGTCGCGTATTAAGGTTGAAGGTTAGTAGGGTTAGCGGGTTGTCTTCCCTTGCGAGGATTTGGGTTGTTAGCGTTTGGAGCAGTCCTAGCCTTTTGTTGTTTACTGCGTTTCACTCCCTATATCTTTCTTGTTATTGTCTCATTGGTTGATTATACGCTATCTTTTGTATTGGCTGTTATGTTTGCATATATCTCTCCTGTCACTTAGATTTGATGTTCTTGAGCTGAGGGTCTCTTGGAAACAGCCTCTCTACCTCCACGAGGTAGTGGCAAGGTCTGCGTACTATTTACCCTCCCCAGACCCCACCTAGTGGGATTTCACTGGGTTGTTGTTGTTGTTGATGACCGTGGTGTCCGGGCCAGCTTTCGCACACCTCGACTAATTCTACGGGATACGTGTCACCTCAAACCATCAACAGATACCAGGTAACTCTGTCCTAAACTGATTCCATGAGATATGTGTCACCTCCCAGGTAACTCTATCCTAGACTAATTCTAGGGGATACGTGCCACCTCCCACCAGCAACAAGCAACATATACCAGGTAACTCTGTGCTAGACTAATTCCAATGTGCCACCTCGCAGGTGGCTCTGTCCTACACTAATTCCAGGAGATACGTGTCATCTCCCACCATCTCCCACCAGTAACAAATACCAGGTAACTCTATCCTAGACTAATTCTACGAGATATGTGCCACCTCCCAGGTAACTCTGTCGTAGACTAATTCCACGAAATACGTGCCACCTCCCAGATAACTCTATCCTAGACTAATTCCACGAGATACGTGTCACCTCTCACCAACAACATACAAGATAACTCTATCCACCAGGTTGGGATAGATGAAAAAAACCACCTAGTGTTATTGTCTCTCCACTGAGTTTTGAACCGAGACCTCAGGATTCCAAACCACTTCATTGTCTACTAGACCACACCATTGGAGCGCTAACATATGAATACAGATTTCTCCTCCCAATTCTTCAAATTTCTAGATTAGTTAGTTGGTGATGAATTCCATACAACAACAAAAAGATCAACAGAAATGACAAGACAATGAACACCAAGAATCCATAGAAATATCCAATTACCCAATAACAACCAAATCCCTCAATAACATAATGTACAAAGATTACAACTTTACACATTTTAGCAAAACCCCACAAGGAAAAAAGGGGAAAAAACTAAATCTTGAAGTAATTAAGTACCTTTTTCACCAGCATCACTGTCCTTCCTCTTGAGTAATTTCCTCACATCTTTTCTCATCAAAAAACCCATCATCTTTCTCTCAATCTAACTAATTTCTGTATCAGCTAGCTACCATTCACTCAAAATAAATGGAAGAAAATGACAATCTCAGAAATTAGTGAGTAATCAGTATTGATTTTTTTTTAAGGAAAGAGGGTTTTGTCGGGCTAAGCGGAGTGATTTGAGTTAAAAGGCTTAGGTACAAGTGACAAAGCGTATATTATTGTCGGAGAAAATCACGGGCATGCACCGACAGTTGAACATCATTAATTGGAATTTCGAAGTAATAATAAAAGATAGAGCCGTTTAGATTTGAAGTTAATCATTATTATTACACTCTCCGTTTCATTTTATACCAGTTAGTTTGATTCGATATGAAGTTAAGATTATTGAAACTTGTGATCTAAAATAAAGCATAAATATTTATATGGCTATAAATCATTTTATTAAGAGTAAAATAGATATTAAAATTAAATTATTACTTAATATAAAAATATGTCCATTTCTGAATGGATAAAAAAGAAAAATAAGTTATAAATTGAACGGAAGGAGTATAAGTTAATGGGTCCCCACTCCATTGTGATCAAGAGATTAGGTCAAGTAGATCATTATTTATTTGTAGGACCACATTTAAATACTTCCAAATGAGGATTTAAGTTGAAATTAGTTAATACTATAGTATTTGATTGTTATTTTTTTTGTTTGCTTTTTCCACCTAAAAAAAGAAGATGAGTTAAGCATCGATAACAACTCTAAATTTGATGTAAATTATTAGTTTCATTTTAAAGTATTGATAGCCTTAAAACACCCCTCTAATTGACTAACTCAACTTAAATAAACATACGATTGCCACATGACATAGCAAGTGGTTTCAAAATCTTGTAGGAATGAGGAACAAGTATTGAAAACACCCCTAAACTTGATGAGAATTTAAGGTGCAAAATTAGGGGTGTATTTAAATTCAGTTAGTAAAGTAGATGAATGTTTTTAAGGTTGTCAATAGTTTGAGGATGAAACTAATAATTCACGACAAATTTAGAGATGTTTTGAATACTTCTCTAGAAAAAATAAAATAACATTGCTAATTGGTGAAGCAGCATAAGTTTGGTATTACAAAACTTGAAGTGAGTTGATCCTAGAAATAAGAATATACTGTCTAATTTTAGTACAAAAAAACTGAAATGATGCAACTTCATTCAAAAATGATTTAACTATATTCAACTCATTTTACAATGTTACAAGACACTCTTACATTTGCTGCACAACAGCCTCAGCTCATTGTTGCAACACTAAAGTGGCATAGATTAGCTCATTCCATGCATCGGGGACTCCCGGTAGACACCAATGGCTACAATCTTGCTTACCCTTTTTACCAACCTTACCATACACAGACGGGTGGCCATCCTTGCGGAAATTTGTTGACTGTGTTACGTTTAAAAGGACTACTGGAAACTGCATTTCCTTAATCACCTCCTCCACAATCTTCATTTTCAAAGGATAGTTTCCAAGGATTGCTCCTTTCGAAACAGGTTCACTCTCTTTATTACAACTTCCACCTGAATCCCAATCTCCGCCTCTGTTTAAGTACAAGTAAACGTTACACAAATTTGTACTTCATACATGATACAACCAAATGGAAATGCTATTTAAGGTCGACCTTGATGAGTTAATGAGGCGAGTTTTTACTTGGACAAACCTTAGCATTTGGTTTCAAAAGATTCTATTGTGGAAGCAACAGTAAGTACCTATAGTGAGCTGAAGAGTAGCCACGATATATAATCAACTTTTCACGGTTCATGTTTTCGTCAATCCACTTAGCCCAGGTCTTCAATGCTCTCCTATAAGCTTCAACGGCATCAAATTTAGGGTATATTTGCTCACCTTCTTTATAATAATTTTTCCTACACCAACAAAAATCTCATCTTAGATGCCCCTGCAGCTCCATTTAGTCAAACTAGAAAAAACACAAGCACTGAAAATATACAGTAGAAAATAATAAAAGATATTGTGTTCAAGAGACCGGTTCGTTTATAAGGATTTCAGCCTTGAAGAGCTATAATGCTCTCAGATCACTATAGAATGATAAGTCACATGATCCTCCAGCTCAGATAAGAGAACCTCAGATAGCTAGTAAGAAAAGATATCTCAGAAAAGAACCGCAAATGATATGTTGCATATATCATAAGAAGAATAAAACACACCCCCTGGCAGTCTTTCCATGAGTCCACCAATGCCCCGTATTGAAGATAAGAATGTCAGCTCCCTTCCAACGATTAGATGTTTTGTCGATGCGATCTATTGATAGAGTTGGATTTGAGCTTCCTTGAGGATTGATACGTACTCCTTCTCTAACAAGGAAGTGTGAGCGCACGAATTCAACTGTGCAGTTATAATCCTGCAAAACCATAATATTTTAGTCCTCATTGCTCTCTTTTCTAAGAAGCTTTCGCAACATTTCATCATTGATATAAATGGTGTCAGTTTAGCTAGAATGAAATCTTAATAAATGCATACGCAAAATCACCTCAAATTTGAAAACATAATAGCCTCTTCCTTTTGTTATCTTATACCCATGGATCTCGTACATTTTACTCTTATTAGTGAGGCCTTCACGAAGAAGGCAAAGGAGAGATTCGAACTGGTTCCGGTTCATTGAGTCCCCAACCAGCATCAGCCTCTTTCCTTTCAATCTCTTCAAAAAATCTGATGGACTAAACCTACAAAAAAATATAACTGGTTTAAGGATACAAGTTCTATAAGTAGTCCCCTGAATCAACAAATGACTGGCAATTTATCAACGAGATGAATAAGTTCTATCATCATATGAATCAGTTGAAATCTAGAGCACACCATTTGACACACAACTTTTACTAAGTCGAACTCCACCCTTAGTATTTTTAACTATAACGTGAAGTATTTTACTAAGTTGAAATCGTGATATGATATCGCATGGCCAAACGCCTACTTAGTCTAACAACATGAAGAGAAGAAGACTATTACACAAACAGGATTATAGCCTTGGCAACACAAAACAAAAACAAGAGTACATCCTTGGGAAATAGTCAACCAAATCTTTAGTGTAGATACTAATTAATACTTGCCAATTTTCTCCAACAGTCAAAACGTATAACAATTACTAACTCCTTATCTTAACAGTTAATCTATTTATAGTAGCAGGTTTTTTCTGTACTAACAACAACATACCCAGTGAAATCCCACTACGTGGGGTCTACGGAGGGTAGAGTGTACGCAGACCTTACCACTACCTCATGGAGGTACAGAGGCTATTTCCGAAAGACCCTTGGCTTGAGTGCATCAACCCAAGTAAAAAAAGAAGACAATGAAGAAAGCATAGCAATTAATGAGGAAAGCAGTGTAACGTCTACAAGAGAGAAACAAAAATAGCATGATAATTGGCATACAATAATATGCATGTGGCAAGAACTACAAGGATATGATTAGTACTACACTAGGCACTAACAAGCCTAAGCCTTCACAAAGCAAGACAATACTTTACCCCTACTAACCTTTTACCCTAACACGCGACCTCCACTCCGTCCTATCTAAAATCATGTCCTCGATAATTTTAAAAAAGAAATCAATTTATAGAGGTAGCACATTTGCATTTATTATCTTCCAATTGAACAATTGCAGACATTACAAATTATTGTGGAATTTACCCAAGTGATCTTTCGTTCCTGAGACCTCCTTCCATTTGCATTATCCTCTACATATCAGACACACTTCCAGTAGTCGATTCCAATACGATTTCAACTAGAATGGTAAAAGGACAGGCTAATCATGGGTTTATTATCAGAACGGCACACATAGAACTTGCAAACTTGGATTACAAAACCATCTCTTTCTTAAAAAGTTGAAAATCTTCCTTTAACCACAGACCTCAACCATCCCTTTCTTTCAAGAATCGCAAATCTTTCATTGACAAACAGCCACATAATAAGACAAAATATAATCTTTATGGAAACCAGAAACTTTTGGTCCAGATAAGGAAGAAGAATTCATTCTGTTTAAATGATTACATTGCACTTCACTCTCCATTAAAACTGTTTACCTTACTCGAACACAGAGCTACGATCGAAAACACCCAAATATATAATCACAATCACAATGTAGGAAATCAATATTGGTTACTCATTGTTGTTTGAATGTCCAACTCATGTAGTTGATGGAAAATGACAGCTCAACAAAAGACATATAACTACAAAATAACTTCAAAGATGCATCATTTACAAAGAAGAATGAGTAATTTAAGTTACCTTGGAAGATGACATCCATATGGCTTCCATGTCCATTTAAGATATTGTGAGTCTGGCCTACCATTAGTCTGACAATCAAAAGCCTCATCCACATAAGGGCAAGACCCTGGTTTATAAATTGGATGATTCTCATCTTTCACCCAACTTCCCTTAAAAAGATCACAACTTTCTCCAATGGGTCTTGAGTTTTTCTCAACTAAACTAGATTTGGGTGTTTCTGATGTTACATCAAGATCAGATTTTGACTTCTCACTAGAACTAGAAATAGTCTCAGGTGAAATAGGTTTAACCAAATTATCATCAAAATCAGTTTTAGCCAAAATGGGTATCTCTGTATTAGCCTCTAGTCCTTGAAATCTTGATGTCTCACTAGAATTAGAGATAGCCTCTGATTCAACCAAACTACCATCAAAATCAGATTTTGGCAAAATGGGTATCTCTGTATTAGCCTCTAGTCCTTGAAATCTTGATGTCTCACTAGAATTAGAGATAGCCTCTGATTCAACCAAACTACCATCAAAATCAGATTTTGGCAAAATGGGTATCTCTGTATTAGCCTCTAGTCCTTTAAATCTCGATGTCTCACTAGAACTAGAAATGGTCTCTGATTCAACCAAACTACCATCAAAATCAGATTTTGGCAAAATGGGTATCTCTGTAGAAGTCTTTGGTGAAATGGGGTTAACCAAACTATTATCAAGATCAGATTTTGGTGCAATGGGGGTCTGATTTTGCAAGAGTATAGGGGTTTGAGAAAGGGTATCTCTGTAAACAGAGAGTATTTGAGTAGGTTGAACAATTTTTCTGCTGAAAAAGAAGAGAGTTGAAATAAAGAAGAAAAGGACAAAGAATATACAAGTATAACGTGCCATATGAAGAAGAAGAAGAAGAAGAAGACGGCATTATGACTGATTTTGTAGCCATGTATAAGGCCGACAAACATGAATTCCTATAATCTCTCAACATAAACCATTTTCTTTTGGTAAATACTAGTAATAATGAGTCAACTTACCATATTTAAATTCAGAATTATAGTAATTCCTTATCTACCAATCTAATTTTTCCACAACCCTTTCTATTCTCAAATCAAATTACTCAGGTAGGATATCTACTAACTTTGTTCGGATGTATTATATTATATTATATTATATTGTGTTGTATTATGTCGTATTGTATTGTTTTAATGAATACAATGTTTGAATAAATTGTATTGTTCATCATCGTTACATAATGTTACACATTCATAATTTGAATGATAAATCTACAAGAAAAATAGGATACGGGGTACAATTACTATAAAAATGTAGGATAAAAGATTAAAGGGAAAAATAACAAATATACCCCCCGAACTATAGTAAATGATGCAGATATCATCTGTCATACTTTTGAGACATTGGTGTCCCTGCTGTCCAAAAACTAGAACATATATACTCTTTATACTAACGGACATATACGTGTCATAATTTTATCTATTGGCTGACATTTATTAATTATCGAATCGACGGATAAGATTGCGCCACGTGTCCCTGTTTAGTCTTCCATTAGAGTGAAGGGTATATATGCTCTAGTTTTTGGATAGCAAGGACACCAATGTCCCAAAGTAGTATGACGGAGGGTATCTGCATACCATTTACGATAGTTCGAGGGATATATTTGTCATTTTTCCAAAGATTAAATATGATTATTAAATAATAAATAAAGATAAATTGAGATAAAAATATTAAAGTAATGAATGAATCACATCAAATTGGTTGTTACATAAATGAGTCTTTTCATTGTTACCTAACAATATATTTAAAATATATGATACAATAAATATTTTGGTTTTAAACTAACAATATAATACAATACAACGGGTAACAACAATCCGAACGAGATATAAATTACCATAACTTAAGTAATTATCCCATGTGGAGTATTTGAAATGTCAAACAACATTAGACTAATACTACTATTTGTGTAGAAGATAATTATTGACCATATTAAACAACACTTAATTCCCAACATGCAACAATTTTGTTTATCAAATTGTGGTAAAAGATAAACTATTGACCAGATTTTTCCTATTTGAGCATGACAATGATAATCGATTGGCATATAGACTATTATATATATGTGTATATATATACTTTTTATTACGCAAAGCTAAGTATCATATAAAATTATATGGGATAGACATATATTATAGACTTGTCGTGATTAACTAACACTCCCCATAGATTAATACTAATTCTAGCCTAATTAAGCATGATCGGTTTGACTTATTGTTATCAGTTTGTAGAGATGTAAAACCGTTATAAAACTATTAAGATATTGGCTTATCGGTTATTGGTTTATCGGTTATTGATCGTTATGAGTTTAACCGTTAAGATTTGACACAAAAATAAACTAATAAAAAATCACTTAGAAACAAGGTGACAAATTGAATGAATCATGTACATGAGTTCACAAGTTTCATTTTGCTCAAAAGCAAACACTTTTATATTGTAGAATAACCAAGATTTTGAGATAGCCAGAAATGAAAGTAGGAAACTAAACTTAAGTCAGGGACTTTATTTACAAAATGGTATAAATATAATTATTTAATTTACTATCGGGTTATCGGTTAACCCATTAAGAAAAAACCTCAAACCGATAACCCTATAACAAAAAAATCAAAACCGTTATCTGAACTGCAAAACCATTTACTGATAAACCAATAAAAAATTTTCGGTTCGAGTTATCAGTTTTGATTCAGTTTTGAACAGCCCTACCCTCAACTCCAAATTCCAAAAATGTTATCGCACTCATGTTGGATCCTTTACTAATATACTATTTTTAAGGATCAAACACGCACCTATCAATATTTTTAAAAAGTCCAAGCAACATAGCAGACTTGTTACCTGATGCCAAAAACAAAGAAGCAAGCAAGAAACTCCATGTGCCTCCACTAATTAATTTTAATAACTAGTCTCCAACATATAATAATACTATTCAAAACTCATAAACAAAACATGATATAATGAATATATACACCATCTATAAATACATCATAGTACATATATGCATGCATGAACAATTTGCAAACAAATTAAAGAAGAAGAAACATGGCATTGGATCCAATTGTTCCCTCAAATTCAAGTGCAAGAAGATGGACAGACCGCATAAGTAATGCCCTTAAGAAAGATGTTGTTATTGACATCAATCTTCTCCCTCCTGTCTGTGTCCTCCACATTCCGAAAACACTAACTCATCACAAACCAGAAGCCTATACTCCTCAGCTCATTGGCATGGGACCTTATCACCATTTAAGGCCAGACTTATATCAAATGGAAAGGTACAAACTTGCTGCCATCAAACACATTCTTCAGCCTGTTCAAATCCTCAATTTCGAGCACCTCTTGATCGATAAACTTAGAGATAATGATCTTGTTATACGTGCTTGTTATAACCGGTTCATGGATATAGATGAGGAGACTTTAGCTTGGATTGTAGCCATAGATGGTCTATTCTTGCTTAACATCCTCCGTTCATCATATGGGAATAATGTTCATGATGATAATATTGATGATAACATTTTCACTCGAGACTTTATGATGCTTGAAAACCAAATCCCGTTTGTGGTAGTGAAGCAAATTAGAAAGTTTCTCTGTTTCTCTTCCCCTGAAGACAGAGAAGACACCGAGCTAGTTTCCATGTTTAGGCGCTTCTGTGAAATGCATTCCCCGCTTCCTTTGCCTAGAAAAAATGCTAAAGAAACTCGGCCTCTTCATTTGCTTGATCTTATGTATCATTTAATCCTTGATGATCATGTAGATTTTGTTTCAGTTCCTATTCAAATGTCATCTATCATTACCAAACATGACGATAAAGATAAAGAAGATGTTCGAGATCAAGATACACATGAAGACATCATTCACAACTTCGAAACAATCTTGGAGGTGTTGGAGCCTATAGGCCCAAGAAACGTGCAAAAACTTCTAAAATCCATTAACCAGGTTGTAGAAAACGTCCCATGGTCAACGATTTCCGGGCTATTTAGGAAAGGTATGGAAATAAATGGAGACGAAGAAAGAGAGAATATCAGTACTATCCCTTCAGCATCCCGATTATGGTGTTATGCCAGAGTCAAATGCAGCCCAATTCATGAGGGTATCAGTAGGATTAAATTTGAACAAGCTTCTTCGACGTTATACCTTCCTGTGATCACAATGAATGCCGGCTCAGAAGTCATAATTAGAAACTTGATGGTCTATGAAGCTGCCATGTCGAAATCCAATCTCGAATTTGCTAGATACATCAATCTAATGAGTGGAACTACAGATACTACTAAGGATGTGAGGTTGCTTAGGCAAGCTGGTGTTATCAAAGGGGATTTGACTGATAATGAAATAGCCACTTTGTTCAGTACCATACAAAGGTCATTTGTGAGGTCTAGTGGAAGTTCTAATGTGGAGATTGCCATGGAGAAAGTCAACAAGTACTATGACCAGAGGCTAATCGTTAGGGTTCGTAGAGGATTGAAGAAACACATCTATGTTTCTTTGAAGTTCTTGCCTGTTGTTATGTCAATATTCATTGTCTTGCTGCTAATTTTCCAAGCATTTTGCTCTGTGTATGGTTGCCACAATGTTTGGGCCAATAGAGACTAGATAAAGGGATTCACTAGTAATGAGAAAACTATGAATTTGGCTTCTTGTTAGCCTTCAATGTGCTTGCAAACGTAAACTCCTCTGGCATTTCTCTTCTTGTTGTATTTATTTGAAACAGAAACAAAGATTTATCACCAAATCCTCACATTGCATACCCTGCTATCATTACATTCCAAGTTATGAGACTCTTTTTTAGCACTTCATGAAACTTCTTTTCAGCATCACCATCTTGAGTACATATCAATAATTGAATTACTCACAAATGAATACTTTTCAAACCCACTTTTAGCACACAACCCCATGAATCTTTTGTCCAACGAGAGGGTGTTGCTCCGATAGTAAGCACCCCTCACTTCCAACCCGAAGGGGGACAAGCAACAAGGATTCTTGATCATTAACATGTTGTAAATATACACACATTAAAGTTTGTCAAACACGTAGCGATTCAATTCCACTCTACATATCAATGAGATCATTAATTATCATCAACATGATATTAGAGCAAGCACAAGTTCTGGGATCGAATCTCACCGTCACTCATATCAAAAAGAATTTACACATGCTTGGCCCATGAAAAAGAATCAGGCCCGCATGTGAGGGGCTTGTTGATAATACAATTAACTAAAAGAGTACTCTCTCTAACAACTTCAGCTTTTAGATGGAAATAGTCACACACTTCAACACTTAATACAACTCCATTTGAACTTGCTTTCCCATATCTAAAGACAAATTCTTGCCTTATAATTGACTCTTGTAAATATTCCTATTAACTAGTTATTCTTTAATTTAATACGTTCACATCCATATCCACACGGTACATACAATCTCTTCGTGTAGATATATTTATCTTTTAAAATTTGAGTTTAAGTTAGATATAGTATATCATCTAAGGATATAGACTTCACAAAATATGGATTTTTTCTTATGAGTTACAGTAGGTATGATTAAAATATTATACAAGTAAAAGATGTTGTCTATTGAATGAACAATATTCTGCCGTCCTCCATAGTGAAGACTAAAACAAAGTATTTTGTCTTTAATTTATGCTGGCATTGCAACTCTGGATTTTACGAAGCCCTTTCGATTCTCCCTATATGTCTCTCATGTTAATTAATCTATCTTGATTAACCTAATAAATTCTTATCTACTTTGTCGATAACAGTGATATCGAAACTTGAGATGCAGCCTTTCTCCGGCTTGTTCTTTTTTCTTGGAACTTTAGTTGTTCTGTTTATCCTCTTACTTCTCATATTCATCTTATGCAAGTTTTTCAAACCAGGAAAACTGACAGCTTTGTTTACTAGCACATTTAAGCCTACTTCAGGTTTTTTTGTTTTTACTGATTCCTGTTCTTTTCAGTTTCTTATAGTTGTTCGCAATTAAAGATTGTGTCTTCTTCAAATGATACAGGGACTAGTGATGCTCTTAGTGTACATCTTCGTACGATAAGTTACTTTAACTTTCATACATTGGAGAAGGCTACAAAGAATTTTCACTCAGATAACCTCCTTGGATGTGGTGGATTTGGTCCGGTTTTCCTGGTAAGGTTAATGTGTCTTTACGACTTGTAAAGTTCATTTTTTTAATTAGATGCAGAGGTTAAGAATTGGCCCTAGTGTTTTTCTTAGGGGAAGTTAGGAGATGGACAATTAATTGCTGTCAAGAAGTTGTCTGTTGACAAATCGCAGCAAGGGGACCGGGAGTTTCTTGCTGAGGTGCGGATGATAACAAGTATACAGCACAAGAACCTTGTCCGCCTTCTTGGTTGTTGCTCAGAAGGGGATCAGAGGCTTCTCGTGTACGAATACATGAAGAATAGGAGCTTGGACCAAATACTATATGGTATTTATGTCTCTTTCCTTTCAAACTTGTTATAAGTTGTTTCCTTTTGAGTTCTCAACGGCTGAATATAAGAAATTTTGAATGTCATTATTGTACTTTATGCACTCTTTAGGCCTCTATGTTTGTTTTTCACAGGAAAGAGTAATATATTCCTTGATTGGAAAACTCGGTACCAGATAATTTTAGGGATTGCGCGGGGATTACAATATCTTCATGAGGATTCACACATTAGGATTGTCCATAGGGACATCAAAGCCAGCAATATTCTGTTGGATGACAAATTTCAACCAAAAATCGGAGATTTTGGCCTAGCCAGGTTTTTCCCTGAAGATCAAGCATATCTCAGCACCGCATTTGCAGGAACCTTGTAAGTAGTGTTGTTTTTCTCATTTTAGTTTATTATGACAATCTCACTGACGTAGATGAACCAAACTTTTAACGGATGACATAGATCAACATATATCATCTTAATTACTTTTGTTTTTCTGGATTTTGGCAGAGGTTACACAGCTCCTGAATATGCAATTCGAGGAGAATTGTCTGAAAAGGCTGATATATACAGTTATGGTGTTGTTGTGCTAGAAATAATCAATTCTCGGAAGAATACAGATCTTTCTTTGCCTTCAGAAATGCAATATCTCCCTGAATATGTAAGTGCCTTAAGTTCTCATTAAGTTTATGACGATATATATATATAGATATTGATTGTTCAAGTACGTATATACAGGCATGGAAGCTATATGAAAGATCAAGATTAATCGATCTAGTTGATCCAAAGATGTTGGAAGATGGGATGGCGGAAAAGGATGTAATGCAAACAATACATGTAGCTTTCTTATGCCTTCAGCCTCATGCCAATTTAAGACCACCAATGTCTGAGATTGTTGCAATGTTGGTAACCAAAGCTGGAACACTAACTACATCAACGCCTCCGCCTTTCTTAGATCCAGAGTTAAGGATCGGAAGGACGATAACAGTACATGGTTGACTCATTCACCACAAATGTACATATCTCAGGAAGCTAGAAAAGATTTTTTAGTGTGTTGTCAATAGCATTTGTGTCTATGTAATTCAGCCAAGGTTCTTTTTTTGTTTCTATGAGTATGGGAAAAAGTTTAGTTTCCAGTGTATTATAAGTAGAGGAAATAAGTTAATATGAGTGCAAAGTGTTTTTGGTGATTGAAATTGCAATGTGAGTGAAGTAGAGAAATGGTCTATGGATGTATTTTTATTTTGGTATCCCACTGGAAAAACGTTGGTTAAGAATGAGGTAGTACTTATCAATCTATCACAACTCTTGTCAGTGGTTTGAGATTTTTTTAATTAAAAAAAAAATCAAGAGGGCAAATGATTTTTTTTTTTTTTGATTTTCCACTCGGTGTCCGGAGCCCACATTGGAGCCTCAACTAAATCCGGATCGCGCACTTCAGGGCCCATTCGGGGGTGACGCTCCCAATAAGATTTTCTCCATACCCAAGGCTCGAACCTGAGACCTTTGATTAAGGGTGAATTAGTCTCACCATTGCACCACAACTCATGTTGGTGTAATGGCATTTTTGATTTTTTTAAAAAAAAAAATCAGTAAATACTAATGGAAATGATAAATATGTATATCAAATCTGAATCGTAAAGTTTGAGGGCATATTTGTCTTTTTTCCCCCTTTATTTATGTATCCATGTGTGTATAATAAAACAAAATCCAAATTAATCAAGTAGTGAATGAGAATAGACTAAAATGAATTGGATTAGTGTTCAATGTAGTAGGTGAATAAAGGTTAAATAGTAGTCCATAAGGACTAAGGTTTTTTTCTTTTCATTCGGTGTCCAATATCTACATTGGGACCCGATTATTTTGATTTCACGCCCTGTACACCCTATTCGAACTTATCAAAAACTTTTTCATACCTAGGTATCAAAGTCGATTTAGGACTCAAACCTGATACCTGTAATTACACTCTGTTTGGATCATTGTTACCCATTATATTGTATTGTATCGTATCGTTACTATATCTACAATGTTTGTTTTGATTGTTACTTAAAATGTATTGTATTGTTAAATTTTGTTGTTACGTAACAATGAAAATCCCTATTTTATGGAACAACCGATTTGGTGTGTTCCCATTGTTACTTAATTTTTTTTTTCCAATTATATCTTTACATAATATTTCAAAATACTATTTTACCCTTTACCTCATATTATTTAATTCTAATCAAACCTCCTACCCAGAATAATTAAAGATATTTTAGTAAATTTATAAATTACAATACAGTACGATACAATCAAACCAAACAATTAAAATGTTATTAAACAATAACAAACAATACAGTCTAGCCAAACATTGTATCTATAATACAATATAGTACAATACATTATGAAATAATGAGTAACAATGATCCAAATAGTGTAAGGGAGGAGCAACTTCATCTGCCGGACCGTGCATGTATTTAGATTAGCATAGTTGTATTGACAATTAGTCTATATTGGAATATTATATAAACAAAAAAACAATAGAAAGGTCGACCCACACACGCAAAGACGCCTTCTTCTTTAGCCTAACTCTGTTTCTGCTGAAAAAGGTATTTCCCACTAACCCTTCTTCTTCTTCTTCTTCTTCTTCTTCTTCAAGCATTACAAAGAAATAGTGTTTGTTTCAATGGCGTATGTCGATCATGCTTTCTCAATTTCCGATGAGGATATGATGATGGAAGGTTCTCATGCCGATAACAATCGTGGACCCATTAAAGAGATCGCTCTTGCTGTTTCCCTTCTTGTATTTGGTACCCTCGCTATTTTTCTAGGTATTTTCATGGCAATCAATAAGGTCGGTGGCGATACAGCTCATGGTAACTCCGTAATCCTCTTCAGCTCACTTTTACTCATCTGATTTCGATTTTGATTTATCTCTAGGGTTTATATTTAGGTCTTTTTTTTGGGCATGTCTTGTTATTTGAAGAGAATGTTTGTAATGCAGGGCTTTTTTTTGCTATACTTGGTGGAGTTCTGTTTATACCAGGGTTCTACTATACAAGGATTGCATACTATGCTTACAAGGGTTATAAAGGTTTCTCTTTTTCCAATATACCTCCTGTCTAGAGTCGATTATCGAAGCTCTCCTACATTGTACAGCTACCTCATTTACTCTACCTTGTGAAAAAAAAAAATTAGTGTTGCTTCTAATAGGTTACCTCGGGTATTGGATGTTGAATCAATACTATTACTTGCTAGACTATGTAATCCTTTAACTCAGTATGGACACGATGTAATAATACAAGTGCTTGCGTGTTTATTGATGTTTTTCAATTGAACCGTAGCTTTTTCTTCCAATCTTCGGGCAGAGAGGTTTGCTTGCAAGGTTTAGCAGAACAGTTTTGCTTGCATAGTTTAGTCAAATGCTGGTTTATATTATATGCATCGACGTGGATACACAAATGATTTTTTCTTTGTTGTGCAGGGAGTGATGTTGTTCGTAATATTTAATATACCATTGTTGAAATGAGACCCTCAAAAAAACTATTGTATATGCCTATATGAGAAGATAATAGTGTCTTTAGTTTGGAAGTTTTTGGTATGCATCTCTTCTTGATGCTTTTTGAATGAAATTTTATTGCTTCATCCAAAAAAATTTGCCCCTCAACAAAAATTGCAAGGGATATCTGGAAATTTTTGGTGTTTTATGGTAATGTAGAGTCTTTAAAGGGTGTGTGTTGTGGTAGGTCCATTCAGAAGCCTATCATACAGTCATGAGATTGATGAAGGATTGTCTCTACTGCTAGAGCAATATATAGCAGGATCCTCATAGAAATGTCAATGTTTAAGCTATGAATGTGCTAGGCTGTATGTTTTGTGATTTGAGTTATTCAAGTGTAGTATTCAGTTGTTTCAACTGTAATGAATTATATGCTCCAGCTTCTCTGAAAAGACAATCTTATGAACTCCTAACTATGAGAACATACTTCCGCATGTCTTAAGAGTTTCTGGTTTTTTTCTTGGTTAATAAAAATCATGTAAACTCATCATAGTGGCAATAACCATCCCTCTTTGATTCCTAGGAATGAACAAACCAAAATAAAAATAGCTGTGTGGGTTTGTAGCAATGATCGTTTGTGTAGGTTTTGTATTATGGAAGGGTTCATATGACTTTTTTTGTAACTGTGTTTTACCCTGCTTCATGATGGCAAAATGTAGGGTAGAGGTGAAGAGAGAAATGTAAGTTATTTCTTTCCATCTATCCAAGAAAATGTCTATGTTGGTGAAAGGTAGCAGGTACCCCATGAAATTAGTCGAGGTTGTGTGCACCACAATTAGCAAAAATGAAACAGTCTATTATAGTAAGTTGGCTACGCTACTCTTGAATGTGTTGCCTATCCAAGTTTGTCTATTAGAGCCTGTGAGATTACTTGAGAGGATCTGGAGTTTCTTCTATTAATTTGGTGTCATTTGGTATGATGCAAAATGACAGACTGAGTGGTTGTTTGGTGTGATGATATTAAATATCACACAGGGTTATGAAGTGTGACTATGTAATTTGCAGTGTGTGTGTGTTTTGTCAATGAAACTATCCAACTATGATACAGAATGTTGAGCTATAATTGATATAAAGTTTTTCGTCCTTTCTAGTCGGATTCGTGAAATTTGGCGTTACTATGTGCTCTGCTTGCCACAACTTTATTATTTATATCAAGTTTTTCGTCCTTTATCATTAATTCTTTTCGTTTCAAGTGAATTTAATAATACTTCCTCAAAAGTACAAAACCACACTTATGGTGGAAGGTGTTATATACGCTGTTGGAAACTTATTCCCCCTTTTCACCCACCCCAACCTTAGTCCTTCCCCACAACCCATTACTCTATTCCTCATCATCTCCATTAATGCCGTCATCGAGCACCAACACCACAATACTATCAATGTAATTACGTGCTTTGTTGGCTGTTGTTCCAATCGATCAATCTCTTCTTTGTTCAATTTTGTCTTACCAAACAAGACTGACTTATTAACAACTCACTAAAGGTTGTGAGGTTGGACCAGGTACGAGGAATGAATCTATATTTGTGCGAGAACATTGTTGGTCAGCAGTTGCTCAACTATTTGAGCGCAATGCAGTGGTGTTGGTTCCAATTCATGCCTGATCGAAGGTCTATTACAGTAGGTAGCAGACGTGTTCATTTTGGCTCCTGAGTGAGAAAGATAAATAGGCAATGCACCACCAATAGCAACATCATTACCGTTAACTCTACAATACCCATCACCAACAAAATAACACATGCATATGATGAAAGATTAATTGGCTAGCCTTAGTTGTGTGCAAACAACAGCTATGCAGAAAGCATTTGGACTGGTGATGGGATAAAATTTGTTTGCTTACACATAGGTTTAGTGTTTTTGCTACATATAACATCACTAGATTCATAAGTTCTTATGATTTGATGTTAAAAAAGCAAATTTTAGCAGAGGGAGGGAGGTCAAAGGCTACGTCTTTAGCTTCTTATCACGTTTCAAACGAATTAGTGTAACATAACCAAATTATACAAGCAAGTAATGAATAGATGTGCGTGTTACAAATTCTTCACTGTTGTGCACCTGAAAGATGCTTTTGATTATTCATTTATCAAAAGGAAACAAAATTGATTTAACGTTGGGTGCTTCCCTCCAAATTACTCGCAATAACAGCAACACCAAAATGATGAGTAGAAACAACAAAATCTCGTAACTGAAAGAAACTTTCTACCAGTAACAAAAGTACATAGATACATATTGTAATAGATAACATCAATAACTTCACAAGCAGCATTGTTAGCTGCTGCACCATACAACTCGACATTGTTAGCTGCTAAAAATGTGTGATAATCACACATTAATGCATACCGTGCAGGAATAGCACTAGAAGCAACAAGAGGAAACACATAGCACATCCTGACAAGATTTTATACCTTCTCCTTTGGCATATCATACATTCTCTAATTTACTAGCTACGACTTTTGCTTTTTCTTCGGCCTGGTTCTGTGCACAAAACATTTAATAAGTAAGCAACAACAAAAAAGCCAAAAACAAACGCCTCACAGAGCAATTAAAAGTAATCTGACAATGAGTACGAGTTACAAATACACCAAAAAGTATAACCATTGCATTTCATGGACCTTAGATTTGCAGGTCCGATTTAAATCGATATCAATGTTTGCCTCTCAGCCTGATTTATTAGTAACATTTCATTATTTATTTTGTGATGGCCATTGTGGCACCCCACGAGAGTCATACCATACCTTCACAAGATAGGGGTAAGGTGCATACACGCCACTCTCCAGACTCCGCTCATGGAATTACACTAGGTATGTTATTATCAAATGAAAATATAATTTTCCTTTTTGGAAGAAAACATACTTTGCCTAGTTAAGTTCTGAACATACTATTTGTGATTCTGTGTAGGGAAATCAATCAAAGGTAGAATTAGAAGGAAATGTAAGCAGGCACCAAAGCCAGAACTCTGCCTATCATGCTCTCAATTTAGAGCATGTTGTATTCATCATTCAAACATTAGGAAGTTTTCAGATAACTAATGATTCATGTAGAAAATTCCTGACCAGTTAAACGTCAGTTTCTAACTCTATGGAACGAGGCAATTCTTTAACCTTTATCAAACGAAACCCAATAAATGCTAAAGAAAACAAAAACATGTCATATACACTTCCAATTACAATATTTGTTTGAGATAGGAAGTAGCTTCTTAGATCCTTTATTAAACAAAACCCAATAAATGCTAAAGAAAACAAAAACATGTCTCCGATGATGACATGTTTGTGACCACAAGTTCAAACATTACCTTTGATATGTGCCAAAAGTCTTTTTTCTTATACTCTTTACACTGCCATATAAACTAAAATGGAGGTACTACAACATAAGAAGCATAACTTCATCTTATCTTACCAAAAAACCCATAAGAGCTCCCACCCCACCCCTACCCCAAAATCTGCAAGAATCAGCATCATCTTCCCATAATCACGCCACCAAAAGAACAGGATATGAAGATCAAAGTGGCATGGTATCTTAACCATTTGAATAAATTTCAGTGGCTGGAGTAAAACATAAAATCAACACTTCGAAGCAAAAACAAACCTTATGAGAGCTGAAGAAGAACATTCATGAAATGGAAGTGGAATGAGCTCCTAGCAAAGACAGTCGCTGGTGTAAAACTTACATTAATTATGTTCTTGGTGAAAGTTATTAGCATCCGCAATCAATATTTCCTCTCTACCCATCCCCAATTCTCTCTACCATGACAGTAGATACCAAATTCCACATTAATTTCTAAGCTGTGTTTCACCGAGTTGCTTACAAGTGTGTATGGGATAGTATCAGGTACAAAATCAAGCGCCTCTTTGCTAAATTTTCCAATTTTGAAGAATCCATGCACATTGCACACCAGCTGACACAGATACCTCAAGACAAATGAAGTATACTATATAACTTTAGACTTAAAGAGTTCGTGAACAATACAGCGCCCAAAAACATGTATGTCCTTTAGGCTGTTTATTGGAAGCCCACCACATTTATGCACAGCACAAGTAATTCTTCACGGCCCTGTAATACCTCAAGCAAACATTTCATTATCTACCATTTTCTTCTTGAAAAGAGGTGTATAACAAAGTGATCAATGTTCGTGGTCTCCAGATGTTAGATGTCACTATAACATAGGTAGGCTAGCAACAGTCTGCACAACTACATGGGAAGCTCTCAACCATCTACTTAAACTTCTTCCATAAAGCGTTACAGTTTCAGAAAAGAAAGAAAGAACACTATTTTTATCATACTTCATTCTCAGTTTTCTTTAAGAGTTACATTGGGTTGCATAGTGTTTCGAATTTAAAGGAGTAGAAAGGCCAAGAAAGTTTTCTTGGTAAAGTCAAGGAATCGGGTGCTAGACTGCCAGTCATGGCTCGACCAGATATTGAGTCGTGACAACTTTCAAGAGATTTAAGTAGGGGATTGTAACTGGAAAGCACCAGACACAAACTATAGAAGACAATACTTAACCTTAAAGATTACTTGATCATAAAGTAGAAACCAGATAAATATCACTTCGAAATTGCATGAACTTGTAACTATAATATCCAAACTAAGGGCGGAGCTAGGCTAGTAACTTTTTTGTAGATTCTGTATTTGTATTGGAAAATTGAATAACTATATATGTATATTAACTTGTGAACTCCTAAAAACTGACTTGACGGCTCTGTGGTAACGATTAGACCATGAAAACACTTTCCACACTAGATACCCCAAACTCCTAATCCTGGCTCCACCTCTGAATTCCAAACCTTACCCCAACAACATCAAACAAGAAATTCAACAAATTTGAGAAACAAACTTAAAACTTACAATATTTTTGCTCTCATAGTAATCATCTAATGCCCACTGATACTTCGACTGATTCAATCCAAACCAGTATGCCACTTGTTCATCCAAACTCGCATGAGCTATAAAAATCCATATACAAATTAGAAATCAGTACAGCAAAAACTAAGTAACATAAACTGGAAAAAGGAACAATATTCATGAAATCAAGATCTGAAAATCTAGAATAGAATAAAGTTACAATCTTTTTAAAAAGATAGGGCAAAGCAAAAAAGGTACCATTTTGAACTTTAGCGACAGCGTTCCAGAAAAACCCAAAAGAAGAGTGAGAGGGTTTATCATACTGCATTGGAGGAGACCATACCGGACATGACTTATCGACCACCTGAACCGGTGGTGTTTGAACCGGTTGCAGCTGAACTGGTGGTGGTAGCTCGGTAGAACCGGATTTGGGTGTGGCTGGAGGAGTCATGAAAACCGTGTATGGCCCGATCTTACCGATCCTCGGAGGAGGAGGAGAAGGAGAAGTACATTCAGTGTTAATGGCCATTTTCAAGTAATTTTGCTAACAACTTTGGGAATGAAAGGCCTT